GTTCTAATATAGGGATGGAAAGATTTGGGTGGTGGGGAGAGGGAGAAAAGAGTTTTGCCTTTATGCCCACTTTATGATATAATTTCATAGGATTGAAAGAGTAAATACAAATTTCAATTTCCAAGTTCCAGCATAGCTGTCTTTCTTTTTAGAATATTTCACTTTTCAAACAATAGAATCGTTTCTTCTTTTCCCATATTGCTCCTCAGTTTCCACTAAAATCAAGCCTATCCCACTCACCCAGAAGATCCCTTGATCTGGTTCCAAAACCATGAATCAGCTGTTGTTGACATGAGTTGTCAGACGGTGGCAGCAGAGCCCAAAGAATGTTCATCAGTCCTAAAGCTGGGGCGCCAACTGATGTGCAAATCTGAATCTGGAGAGCTAATTCTAGTCAAAAGGTGCTCCAAAGACACATCCTCTTAAAAGAGGCTGCTTTGCCATGTAGTTTTAAAAGCTTTGATAATATCTAGAAATCCTCTGAGAGAAATGGTTTTCAAAAGGCATTTAAGAAGTTCACTTCAAAAAATAGGAAACTTACTGATTTGAGGTTAACACACATTTTAGGTAAAATTCTTCATGAATTCAGAACAGATGAAAAGTATCCCCAGTCTACTCCCCTCAGGTAATTATCTCTTTATTGAGCTCGTTAGATGTTCTTGTTCCTGCCAATTTCTCCTTCCTTAATACATGTGGTGAGAATCAGAAGTCTTGAATTGTGACCACAGCTATTTCCCTGGTATGCTGTGATTTAAAAAGACAGACATTGTCAGAACCCAGTGGCTCATGCCTATAATCCTAGGTACTCAGGAAGGTGAGATCTGAGATTCATGATTCAAAGCCAAGCCTGAGTAAGAAAAACTATGAGACTTTTCTCTCCAATTAACTATCAAAAAGCCAGAACTGGGACTATGGCTCAGCTGGCAGAACTCTAGACAGAGTCCAGGGACAGAGTCCAGACCCCAACTTCATCATGCCCCAGGATTGCTCACTCCCACAGAAAAGAGAGAGAGAGACAGAGACAGAGACAGACAGACAAAGACAGACAGACAGAGAGACAGAGAGAAACAGAGAGAGGAAAGAGAGAGAGAAGGAAAGAGAGAGAGAGGTAACTTGCTACCTTATGAGGTCTCAGAGCAATGCAGAATCACCAAAAGGGTAGTCCTCCTTATCTTCTAGCCCTTCTCAATTGTGGTCCATCTTTCTTTGGCTTTTAAAATTTTGTGAAGTAAAACCACACCAACAGTTTCACAGTTATATTCATAACTTAATCTTGTTAGCGATTGGTGGTTCAGAACGGATTCTGGATTGGATACTTCAATCCAGTAACTTCTTAAGGTGCTTCATATTGCTTGAGGAAGTTTATAATACTACATGCCTTAGAGGGCTAAATGAAAATACTATATGAGGGCTGGGAAGGTGGCGCCATGGTAGAGTGCTTGCCTTGTATGCATGAGGCCCTGGGTTCGATTCCTCAGCACCACATAAGCAAAAAGAAAAAAGCCAAAAGTGGCGTTGTGGCTCAAGTGGTAGAGTGCTAGCCTTGAGCTGAAGAGCTAAGGGACAGCGCCCAGGCCCAGAGTTCAGGCCCCACGACCAGACCAAAAAAAAAATGCTATATGAGTACATAGATAGATATTCATGGAAAAGACCTTACCAATTTTGCCTGGCCTGTGACTAATTTTGCATGTATGTGAATTATCATGTTACCTACAGTAACATAAACTCCAAAGGAACCTTATCATTTCTTTTCAGACCATGAAGAGAAGTTCTAGAAGTTATAGTGACTGCAACTTGTTCTCTGGTTTGGAGTTTAGACTGCAACCTGGTTTGGAGCCAGGAGTAGGGTTGGGCTTGGGGTATGAGGAGCTATTGTCTTTCTGCCTTTCTGCTTGAGGGACTTGGACAGGTTATTGGATAGGAACTTTCTAACCCCCACTCTGTAATTCTCAGCCTGCTACCTCACCATCATAGTTTCTAATGCCTAAGATTTTAGAATCACCTTCCCCAGGTAGTGCAGGAGGCCTTACCAAAGACTTGCCTGTAATGGAGAGTGGAGTGGTCCAATTTGAACATGGACTCTGGGAAAAATGGTCCCTAGTGAATCCTTTCTCCCAGAAAACTGTTTTACAGTTGTTTCTTGAAGTTCTGTGCTGTTTTTGAAGTTACACTAGAGTCATGCCTAAAGGAAAGCAGGATGATAAAAATGAAATTAGAAAGAGGGCATGAAAAAAAATGGAAAAAGAAATGATTTAAGTAGATTATAGGTTTATCACATTTCATAGTTTTGTTTTATCTTTTGGTCCTGGGACATAAACAAACAAACCTTCATACTTCTTTAAGGAAAGAAATTTTTCCTTAAAGAAATGACCCTTAGGGAGGAGAATTCCAAATTCAGAAAACTGAAATCTAACTACCTTAATGAATCTATCAGCTCACTTCCAAGCTTGGCTTACCTAAATAGCAATGAAGTTCTGCTAGGGGCTCTCTTGTCCTGATGGACTTAGATAGGATAAAGTAGATGTTTTACATGATCTTTTTTTCTTCTCTAAAGCAGGACTCAGGGACCATATGTTCAAGAAATTATAAGTAAATGAAACAGTCTGGCAAGCAGTCCACAAAGGCTACTCACAAGTCTCTGTATTCCTGTTTTCATGACTGTTTCAAGCATATTTTCAATGCTACAGGTGACTTTTGCTTTTCTTGTCTCCTGTTTTAAGCAACAACATCACCCACTATCTTTTTTTATTTTTTAATTTTATTTTATTTTATTTGAGAACATACTGTACAGAGGGGTTACAATTACATGGGCAGGATAATGCATACATTTCTTACCAAGCATTGCAGCCTCCTCCTTTGTTTACCCTTCACCTCCCTTCCCAGCCTCCCCCCTCCCTCCCACCCAATCATACCCCCCCCCCCCACCGACATTGTAAAGCTGGTTTTGACATGACATTTTGTACTTCTCATTGTTGCAACAGGTCCACCTGAATCCTTAAACGACTTGTTTGTCCCCATCTCCTCCACATGTTATACTGACATCAAATATAGTGAAAGCGGGGGTTACACTGTGATCACCCACTATCTTTATCCCAGTGACCACATGCTTTATTGGGTTATCTTGGCTGTCTCTAACTTTGCATGCTGGTTCTTGCCATTTTTTTACAGCTGCAATTTTCATGAGGTTTTGGTCATGTAAACATTATATGTAGAATGACTATATATCTATATTTTATATGTATGTATAAAGATTGATTGAATATACATTAATGGAATAATCAAACCGTGTTAGAGCAAAATCAGTAAACTTCAGCTGCGTATCTTGAAGAGGGATTTTGTATTTCTCTATGTTCTCTACTTTTCCATAGATGTTTTTGAAACAGCATTAAAATTGAGGGCAAGGGTAACCGAAGGTTGCAACTTCTGGGCTATTTTGCAACTTGGTAGAGAAAAGCCTTTTATATTTCTTTCTGGTAGGTCATTAGAATGATGGGATGGATCTCTTGATCCTTTGAGCCCATCCATCCATCCATCCATCCATCCATCCATCCATCCATACCTAACCATCAGTTTCTTAGCACCAAGCCACCGAGCACTCTGCTCTTTCCAATTCCCCCATTCACGACTACATTTCCACCATATGAAAGCCCCCCAAATGACTCAAGTTATTCCTGTGATTTCAGGGGAGGCTTTGTTAACAATGACAAAATAGCAGATTCCAAGCTTTGGTAAAGATTTGCCTAGATTTCCATCAGCACTCACCTTGCCCACGTATCCTTGCCTCCCCAGACCCATCCCTTTGTAAAATAGCTGATAAATGGTTACTGGATAATTCAACTTTGAAAAAAGCAGAGATGTCTGAAAACTCTGCTGTTCATAAGCCAAGTCTGGGCATGTTGTCTGTTACATTCCTGAACTCCATTTCTATCACAAGTACTAGAGCAGCTTGATTCTAAAGACTGATGTTTGGTATCATCACTAGTCCTCCTGGTTTTACTTCACATATTCTCTTCCCTGGCCATTCCCCTCAGGGAAAAAGGTAATTATGAAATAAGAAAGCTGCATCCATCCTGAAAATCCATGAAGCCGCCATGGGTAAGTAAGGGCTACGAAACATTTCAGGGAAGGAGTTCTCTCATTCCAAATGTGGCTCTAAGCACACCTGTGTGACAACCCCTGATTTAAGCTGACACATCACTTATGCAAAGGATGTCCTTCTTCTTCCAGAAGTGTCTTTTGGCTCCATTGATGATTTTTATGGATTAGAACGGTTCAGAAAAGAAATACATCAAAAGAAAAGGATTCTAAGGGTGTTTGTTTTTATGGCTCTTCCTGTCTGTTGTTGTTCCAAATGAGGGGATATAAGAGTTTCAAGGTTTGCCTCACATAAACTCTCCTTCCACCTGGTCTAAGTACAGAAATGATACTTAAGTTGAGACTCAAGGGGAAAAAAATGGTGTCTTCTTTCTCCACTTGGGTGGGCCTGGGGACAAGGAGTAGCAGTGATGACAGCATTTTGTTTTTATCCATCACCTTGGTAACTGTTCATTCTCTACACTTCCAGTCATCTAGCCATCATGTTTGGACAAGTAGGTAAGGCAACTTCTTAGAGAGTGAATAAGAAGCATTTAACTTCCAAGGCATTGCTTAGAATGTGATTTCTTTGAATCTTAATACCATGTGTTAATTCTTAGTGACTGACAAGAGATTCCTAACCAGGTTGGACTGTGTGAATAGTGGGACTGAGTGCCAGCACTCAATTTATCACGCTTTCTATCTTTTATGTGTGTGTATATACATATATATATACATACTTATACATACATACATATATATTTTATTTTTATTTTTCCTATCACCCTAAAGTCATGGTATGATCCCTGTTTGACAGAAGAGAAAATGACTTGCTTTTGCGTTGTTTCAAAATAGTGAGCTTCTCAAAGGCTTTGAGACATATTTCCTATGCAGATTATAATTCGTAAGTCACATTAATAATGAAGGAAGTCTTAAAGGAAAGACAAAGTCCAAGGACAGTGAATTGCCACCTGACCGATGTTTGCAGGAAGGAAGCACGACTTGTGTAGAAATACCTAAGATTTCTCTAGGCCCTGCTGATGGCAAGAAAGCTTCTCTCCTGGATGTAATAGGAAGAGTAACAGGTTAGCAAAGTTCAGATATAACTAAAAGGCATTTATTTTCACATGTTCTAAAGATATGAAATCCCCAAATTTTAATTCTGTAGAATTCTCTAGAAATAGTTTTTAGCTAAGAATACACAACCTCTCTGTTGTCAAGCCTAGGAATATCTCAGCCAAAGGCAATGGCCCCAACACCCTTTGTGAAATGATATCATCTTACTAGTGTTTCCATGCTCTTGCAGGGTCAGGGCTGGTGGTGTTGAAGAGGAACATGAAGGACTACTCCACTGTAAGAATCCAGGATTCTTTTCCAAGAGGCGAGGAAAGCTTGAACTCTAACACCAGGTAAGAGCCAAAGAGGGACCCTAGAACCCTATGTTTTTTTGTAAGTCACTCAGAGATTTAAAAATGGAATAGGACTAGGTCTTCACCAAAACAAATTCATGTGCATTTCCCATTAAGATAAGCAAATATACCTTTTTGCACCATTGCACAGATTATCTGTACCCATAGTAACCAACAGTTATATTTCCAGTCTTCTTTAAGAGTCCTTTTCCGGCAATCTAGAAATGAAGCTTATGGTGAAATCTTAGCTATTTCAAATTAGTTTTCCATTATTCCCCGTCTGTTATTTCCAATAAATTGATGTTGAAATTACATAAATATTTACATATACAAAAATCCTGTCAATAAGTTCTTCCTCTACTACAACACTTAAGTATATTAAAACTTCTACTAATTATAAAGTAAGGCAATAGAGGGTGATCTGCTTAGCTGATCTTAAAGCCCAAAAGCTTTGTCATTCCAAACTTAAATAAAGATAACTGCAATATATAGTCCACATTATATAGTTTGGTAGGGATATTATAGAAAGAAGATAGAGGAAGATCGTTAATGATTAAGAATTGTGATTGTCTACTATTATCACTAAAACATAACTATTATGCTCTGATGTCTCATAACGTAAGGAATATTGTGTTGATTTTTTAAAATAATTGAGTGGCAATAAATAGTTAAGGCACTTTGTTGGTACAGTCATTAAATGCAACAATATAAAGGTCTCTCAGCTGGGCGCCAGTGACTCACACCTGTAATCATGCCTATTCAGAAGCCTGCGACCTGAGGATCTCGGTTTAAAGCCAGCCAAAGCAGAAAGGTCACCATGACACTCTTTTTTTTTTTTTTAATTTAATTTTATTTTATTTGAGAACACACTGTACAGAGGGGTTGCAATTACATGGGCAGGATATTGCATACATTTCTTAACAAGCATTGCAGCCTCCTCCTTTGTTTACCCTTCACCTCCCTTCCCAGCCTCCCCTCCCCCCCAATCCTTCCCCCCCTCCCCCCCCCACACCGACATTGTAAAGCTCATTTTTGACATGACATTTTGTACTTCTCATTGTTGCAACAGGTCCACCTGAATCCTTAAACGACTTGTTTGTCCCCATCTCCTCCACAAGTTATACTGACATCAAATATAGTGAAAGCGGGGTTACACTGTGGGGGAGGGACATACAAAGCAACAAAGAAATAATCTTATAAATGCGTTAGAAACACATGCATGAAAGAAAAAAAAACATTAAAATACATATTTAAGGGTTCGTTTTCCTAACATCACATTATCTGACCTTTTCCGCTTGACTCATACCTATACTAGATATTGCAAATAAGGGAAACCATGGGACCTATGTTTCTTTGGGCCTGGCTTACTTCACTTAATATAATTTTTTCCAAGCCTTTCCATTTCCTAACAAATGGGGCAATGTCATTCTTTCTGATGGAGGCATAGAATTCCATTGTGTATATATACCACATTTTCTAGGTTGGTTCCATATCTTAGCTATGGTAAATAATGCTGCAATAAACATAGTTGTGCTGGTAGCTTTAGTGTGGTCTTGTTTGTAAACATTTGGGTAAATGCCCAAAAGTGGGATTGCTGGGTACCATGACATGACACTCTTATCTCCAATTAATCACCCCAAAAACAAGAAGTGGCTCTATGGCTCAAAGTGGTAGTGGGCTAGCCTTGAGCAAAAGAGCTCAGGGACAATATCCAGGCCTGAGATCAAGCACCATGACTGACCAAAAACAAAAACAAAGAGTTTCTCAAAAAAACTTACAATGATTCAGTGATCTCACTTCTGAGTATTTATTCAAACAGACTAAAATCAATATCTCTGAACTTCCATACCGGTTGCAGAATTATTGACAATAGCCAAGACATGCAATTACCCCAAGCTGTCAAAAGATGAAAGGAGAAAAACACTCTGATATATATTTATATACATAAAGTGACATATTTATAGTTTAAAAAGAAGGCACTTCTACCATTTGCAAGAAAATGGATAAACCTGGGAGACTATGCTAAGTAAAACAAGCCAGACACCAAAAGACAAATATCACATGATCTCTCTTACATATTTCTAGAATTGCCTAGAAATACATAGCAGAATGAGCATTGATATAGGTTGAAGTGTGACAGAAGTAGGAATGCTGGTCAAAGGACACTAAAAATTATATGAACAAAAATCACTTTAATTCTTGGCTGCTAGCAAGTGCTCATTAAATGTTCTTTGGTTAGTACTAATTTGCTTAGCCAAGAACATGTAGGAAAACAGACTACATCTTCCAAGGATATAGATTCTTAAAATGAATCATTTTACTTAATCTTGTTTCTGATATATTTTATCTCTTTTAAAACATGAAAAATCAGACTTCTATTTAACTGGAAGATCGTGGATTTGTGTCTGGTTAATAGAGGTGTCGGGTACCTTTCATTGATTAAATGTTCAAGATACTCACCTGTGCCACTACTTTGTTGGTGAACTTTCTAAGAATGACACTTACCCCCCCCCCTTCTTGCCCTCAATTTCAGAATTTTAAAATTTGTATTATTTTATTATCTTTCAGTAGTTGTACAAAGGAGTTGCCATTCAACAAAACAGTTTATGAATAGAATATATCATGTTCCATGTCACCCCTTTTCATATTTCCCCTTATCCATCCCAACTCTAGGATTTTTTGAAACTAGATGAGATAATCATTGGTGGAAAAATTAGTAATTAGGTAAAGAAAAAATGTAAGGGTTTTTCCAGGTTTCAGGCTTTGCTTCAATGTTTCCTACAAGCCCACAGCTACACACCAGCATTGGGATGTTCTATCTTTTCCTTCATAAATGATTGGTAGATGTGTATTTATTTAGTACCTTATACTATGTCTGATGATTTTGTTGATATGTTTTCTAATTGGATGAACAAGGTAAATTCACATAAAATAAGTCACAGACCAAATAAACCAGCCTCTCCTTGTGTGCTGCCGACACGATCAATCAGGCAGGTCTGAGGAGAAAGAGGTCAATGTTGGGAAGGTATGGGAGGTATGATTGTAAAGGTGACAGAAACTGAAAATATCAACTCTTGTGAAGAGTATGATGTGGCCAAGACATGGAAGAATGTGTCTCCTCTTGTCCCAACCATTTCAACTATAGCTTCATGAAAAACACCTCAAATTTCTCAAGAACATATTATGGATTTTGCATGATGCACATATATATGTATGTATATTACATTTATGTTCATGATAAGTTGTTACTAAAGCCTGATTCAAATTGGAAAGCTGTTTTGTAGGGGGAGTTTATTTGTTTGTTTGTGCTGGTCTTGGAGCTTGAACTCAGGGGCTGGGCACTGTCCCTGAGCTTGTTTTGCTCAAAACTAATGCTCGACCACTTGAGCCACAGCTTCACTTCTGGCGTTTTGGTAGTTAATTATGAGTCCCACTGATTTTCTTGCCAGGGATAGCTTCAACTTATAATCTTCAGATCTCAGCCTCTTAAGTAGCTAGGGTTACAAGTGTGAGACACCAGCACCTGCCCTGGATAGCTATTCTGGTGGCATAAAACAACATATATGAAGAAAGTGCAAGTGCCCCAGTCATGTCTGGGCTTCCACGGACTCCTTCCCACATCTTCTCTATAATCATAGGATAACTAGTCATGGACAATCAAGAATCACTAAAGTCCTTGTATGTAATTTTAGCCATCCCATTTCACTGGATTCTTTTCCATATTCTTGAATGCAGCTGTCCAAATAAAGTATTTTAACTTGCTCATATTTCCTCCATTACCATTAATTTCCCCATTGTCTGTGGTAGATAAGGAAATAGTCAAGGCAGTCGGGTCATTCAGCAGACCTGGTCCATTAACCTTATGTGTAGTTGAGGATCCTGAATATACTATGAAAGTTCCATGAGCAATCCAGAAGCCAGATCATCTTTGAAACTGATACTTCTTAATTCAAAAGTAAGATGTATACATAGGAATGCAAGGTTTAAATAAACAAATCAGGTATACATTGCTGCATCTCTTAGATGGCAGTATGATAGCTCTTCCTTGTGTGTGGCTTTGCATTCCCCGGTTTTAATTAACTACAGTCAACCATTATCCTAAAATATTAAATAGAAAATGCAAAAATGAACAAGTAATGTTCATTAAATTAAATAATTATTTTATGTTTAAGTGGCTTTTATTACATAGTAATGTAGTAATTATACTATTTTATTATTGTTGCTAACATCTTACTGGGCCTAACTTGTGAATTAAACTATATCCTAGATATGTGGCTACAGATAAAAAGCACAGTATACACAAGGTTTGTTACTATCTGTGAGATCAGCTGTTCTTACAAGTCCTTCCCATGGGTAAAGGAAGAACTTCTGTGTATACTTAAATGGATATTGTGCTGGTGAGTTTCTGTGGTATTTCATCAGAAGTATTGGATAGCTCAGTTGATTCAACACAGTGGTAAAGAATCAATGACAGATCTTGTGACCATTGTGTACTATGCAATAGGGTCTTTTGGTTAGTTGGTTTGATTTGTTCCATTGATTTTCAGGCCAATGATAATTCCACCCACCAAACTGGCAAATTTCTGTCTTTGGTAATAAGAGTGAGTGGTAGGTAGACTAGATGGCTAACTAGAGATGAGTAGGCATTGCTGGAATAAAGATAATAGGTATGCTCTGTACTATTTGGAATCCACTTGTGTTGTGTTAATGTAATATATTCACATACAAAATCCAGCATATTATTTATAGTTTTGCTGACAATGGGCTCAATGCTATTAAAGATGTAATCTGCAGGCCACCAGTGGGTTTTCCAGTAAGCTCAGAAACTACAGTCTTCTATTCTTAGTACTTACAGCTCTCTAGGCAGCCTTGACTTACACACATTATAGTCCAGTATTTCATTGCATCCCTGGTGTCTTTCTTTTCTTACAGAGTAAGCAACATTATAAATAGCATTTAGGCTCTCAGACAAGTGCACAGAAGACTATTTAATAGATTAT